AAAAAGTGTACAAAAATACTTATGGTAGAAATCAATTTTTTTTTCTGGTACAAATGTAGTATTTAAATTTTTGTAAGTGTAAAGCATTAAAAAATGCTTACACATAAATGGAACCAATTTGCATTAATAGTGATCTGATAGAATGGATGCAAATTATTTTTTGTCATGTATAAAATTAGGTATTCAAAATGAATGCCGTGAAGAATGAAAAAAAATTTTTAATGCTTTATTTTGGATTGCAGTAGAGAGAAATAATTGATGATAAACATTACTGCATTAAAATTTTAAATTATTATAAAGTTATGAAAAGAGTTAATATCACAATATGAATATGATATGTTTTTACAGCTTTTAGTCGGTGGTGCCAGGAGAAAATTGAGAGAACTGGAAAAGATGGATGTATTGGACTAAACGTACGCCATAAATTCAATGAAAATTGATACCTTTGACACTGATAATCCAATACCAAGAATGGAAAAAAAAAGAGTAAAGAATAAATCTTGCTATTTTATCATTTAAATTTTTATATTTAAATAAAAACAGTATTAGTAGTATAACTTCAATGAGATTTTTACAAAAAACTGGGTAATATATACTGAAATTGTTGCAAGCATTTTTTGCTAAATGTCGTAATATTTTTATTTTCAGTAATAGTATGAATGTGAAAGAAGAACGTAAGAATGAAATGGATTTTTTTTTTTTCGTTTTAGCTAAGTATAATTAATTAAAATAACAAAGGATAAATAAACGATTTTAAATTTACGCTTATGCTTCTTTTAGTGAATGTTGCAGAAAGCAGCAATTTTGATGCTTTTCGCTTCTTTAAATAATAATTTATCTTAACACTTCAACAATTGGTCAAACTAATTGAATGATAAATGATTTGCCACTTAAGGTATTATTATAATATTTTCTTGCATATACTGCAAAGTTTTCAATTAAAAATTATTTGTTGACTTTTGAATCAAACTATGTCAGACATTTATGAATTGAAAATAAACGATTTTGGGTTGAATACATGAAATATTTATTATAATTTATTGCACTTCAAATTAATCCCTTTCTAAAAGTAATAAAAACTGATCATAGCAAATAAAATCATTCAAAATGATCTGTGAGTGAATACTTTCTAAACATTATTATGTTTTAAAATAACGTAAGAAGATTAGAAATACAAATTTATGTGTAAAATCTAACTCACCAATTTCAGTGTTGTTTGAGTTCAAAAGTTAAATTTTTGTTACTGATAATTGAGATAAAATTTTGAATTAAATAATCTGTTTAATAAATCCAAAAATCCCGAAATGTCAGTTGTAAATCTCACTGATTTGTAAATATTACTTCACTTTTTACATACGTCATTGTATATTTTCAATCATTTGATTAAAATATTATGCTTAATGTTATACTTACTTTATTTGGTTTTTTAATAGTAAAGACTAAATTTTAGCATATTTGCTTGACTTGGATTATTGTTGAAGTTTAATCTTTCTGAAATTATGAATAAAACTGGAATTAATTTTTATGTTATTAATGACCAACTAATGCATACATGAATGATGCATTTCTTTTCATCTTACTACTTTGTATTTTTGTGTTTAATATATAGTTACAATTATTTACTTTTAATTTGTAAGTTTTTAATATTTTTGCATAATGCATATTATTTATTATAAAATACAACAATATTACAGTTCTTATTTTAAAACTTTTATTACTTTAAAAAACTAAAAACAAATAATAAACTTACAAATGCTTGCTATTCCTGCAATAGCCGAATATTGAAAGCACACCGTGAACATCTTTGCAAGTAAAAAAAGATGAAAAAATGATGAATATGTTGTTATTTTTTCCAAAATTATTCTCAATAAATTTTAAATCATTCATTGATCAGTTGCAAATAAAGCATATTTAAAAAATTTTATGTTGTAAAAAGAAATAAGTAATTAGTAATAATAGAACAGAGTGATAAATAGAATAGAAAGAAGAAAAATAAAATAAAATAAAGTAAAATAAAGATGAATATATCAGCTGGAAGAAATTGATATACTTTCAGCCAAGTTTACTAAATAAAATTTGCATACATAAATTCAAAAATAATTCAGTTATGCTAATAAAAAATACTTTAATTTTAAATAGCTAAAATAGAAATGATAAAATCAATTATTACTGATTTTGAAAAATATTATTACAGAGATGGTATAGAGTAAAAGTAATAAAAAATGCTAGCTAGCAATCATAAAAATTATACCATAATAATATATCAATTTAATCATAAAATAGATAAAAAATAATCAGCAATTAAATATAAAAGAATAGATAAAATTGGTGTGCAATATGAAGGGGATTTGTTAGAAGAATGTATTTAGTTAATTGATATTTAGAAGAAGGAAAAATTGGGAAAGCTTATGAAAGATAAAGAAAAGATAGTGATAATTGAAGAAGAAAAGAAAGAAGTAATACTGATAATGATGATTACACCTGGCCATTTCCATTTTGTCTTCTTGTGTTGTGAGTACTTTTTTCAGTACTAAACCAAAAAAATGCTAGAGAAGAAGTCAAAATCCACAAAACTTACTAATTTCCTTCCTTACAAACAAACCATTTAGCTTTCCTCGTAAAATTTTTACATTTTTTCACACATAAACAAATAGCACTGATTCTGATTTTATTATAACTTTGCTTATTTTTTATCAGTTAATCAGTCAATCGTTGATTTATTAGCTATCACTTTGTATTGTAGTATTGTGGTAAATTTTATCACTTTTATTCAACTTTTTTTTAATTAAAA